CTAAGTGAGGAGACAAATACCCTAAATTTATGAAGCACATAGTCCAATTCCTCTGGGCTAGACCCATGCATATAGCCAGGCCTAAAAAAAGCATTTTACTGTAATCAAGCAAGCAAGATACCAACAAGGCCAAACATAGTTATTTGCTTAGTCCTTTGGATTTTGCAGCCCTCTGTCTGAACAAGGTTTTTAGCAGTGTTTTAAGTATATTGTTACAGTAATATCTGCACATTCTCAATGACCAGTTCTTCAGTATTATGCAATTCAGTGGCCAGTAGTTACTGTGTAAGTTAATTAGTCATCATGTTTTATATACTTCAGGAGCTTTGCATTCCAAATAGTACTTGTCTTTACTAAAGTTTCTTAATATGCCTGTATGCTTATTTCCAATAAGCAACAGTAGGAATTATCCTTCGGCAATGTGATACAATTAATCATCTGATATAAACATGTTTATGTATGTTAAACATAAAAATAATTAGTTTGCCAAAGACCACTGTATTCAACAACAACAGCAAAAAGCATATTCACTAGGGATGAAAGAGACAGCAAAAAATTCTTGCAAATTCTAACTGTATTTCCACAGTGTCAAACTAGTGACAGTTTCTCTCACTGGAATACAGAGGCTGCGCTTCTATTTACAGAAATGGGGGAAAGCACAGGAATATGCAATACAGAATGCTTATTCTAATATGTGAGAACTTCAAAAAATACCCTCCTGTTTAAATGCTTACTGTCTTCACACAGAAACAAAGAAATAACAAAAGTTAACTTATCATAAGGCACCAGTTACAGAAATGCCTTAGCTTTGTTTTCAGTATTAGCATTTGTAGTCGGTAAGTATCCAGGACAACTGACAATCAAATGCAGCAGCAAACACATTATTCCCTTGCATAAATTTAAGAGGAGAAAAAGTCATTTTAATCATTTGCTGCAAATCCTTGGCCAGTATTAAAATTGGCCATTTGATACAGTGAAACACTTCCTTCTTTGAGTGGTGTGTTTACAATTCACTTCTTTTTTTTTAATGTTAAATTCAAAATGAAGAAATAATCCATATATGCAAACTAACTAAAAGCTAGCATTTTTCATCCTAAAGCCTCCATAATCTAGAATTGGCTTCCCTTTAAAGTCACCTTTATCATAAGAGTCTGCATAAATGCTTTAAATATGCTAGTGCAAGGCTGGTTATTACTGAGGAGAGAGTAACTGAGCTTTTACTAATCATTAGGAAAAGTGACTGCAGATAGAACTAACTTAAGTGTTTGTTTCACTCTGCTGTCATAGGTTATGAATTAGAAATAATAGCAGTAATCACGTTTCAGAAATAAGGATGTAGATACAAAGCCTCCTGACTCCCACTGCACCAGTGTTATTATCCCAACAAGTTAAATAAATTGCTTACTTCTAAAACAGTAAGTAGAAAGAAAAAAAGAAGAAAAAAGGAAATCTTGAATGCTGCTGCTTTCTTAAGATTCGTGAAAGTCAGAGATGAACAAAACAACTCAAATTCTACAGGAAGATTAGCATTTGGTTTTATGTTTTTAATATTACTATTAAATGTCTTGTCTTATTTTATTTAACATTCTATGTTAGAAAACTTGAATGCTATGATTCTTGGTAGATATTCTGCTGCTTGCTTACAAAGCACTGCTACATTCTAATGTGTATGAATGAAGGGAAACAACAGAAAAGTAATCTTAAGTGAAGCACAGTACTGGGAGAAAATTATGACAACTAAGAACCACTAAGGACAAAATACCTTTTACTAAAAAGCATCTAGGTTTTCTGGATTCACATGAGCAAAGAAAAAAAATCTGTGTTTTTCCGAACCTCCAGTATAGCTGTTCCTTTCTGAGTATCAGCAAAGAAGGGACGAAAAACTGAGTAAACTGCAAGACACTGAAAAGAGATCTCTGCTTTTGGCCTTCCATTGTACTGCTGATTTTGGCAAATAGCTGTGCTGCCTGCAGGCAACTTAGAAAATATTTGTCCTCTGGTAACAAACAGTCCATAAACAAAAACACACTCATTTTCAGTGTCAGAGATCATGCAAAGTTTGTCATTTTGACAGAGCTTCCCTTCATAAAACACTTTCAGAATGGGTTGGCAGCATCAGCAAAATGCTTTTCAAGAGAGCAGAAAGAGCAAATGAACATTCAAATTAGGACATTTTTAATGATACTTGTCCTTCAGTAGTTTGTCTTCAGTATTGAGAAAGACACAATACAGAAGGGGTAGGTAATGCCTCACAAATTCCTCCTGCCCTCTCATATCTGTGGACCAATGTGAAAAGTACATCGCTCTCAAATTTCATTTTGAGATGGCTAGTAGATAGAAAGTGCTTAACTTGGAAAAGAAAACTTAAAAAATGGGTATCAAAGTATCTGATGCTACAATTTTCTACCATTTACTTTCTCTGTACTAGTAAAGCTCTGGAATAGAATTTCTATGAAAACTGTAATTCACTCTGGTTTATTTGCTTGTAAAAATATACAAAAAAGCCTATCACTTTTCCAGCCCTAGTAGTAAGTAAGGCTGCATAGCCAAAGTTTCTGCAAGTAATATCCACTCTTCTAGTGTTTCAGAACTCCACTATAAAATTTCAAAGTGCTGAGATACTGGACTTGGAAAATTTGCCTTAATAATTTTTCTTTATAAAGTTTTTTTCTGCATCATTTATGCACACGCTCTCGACAGACTTTAATTATTTATGATGCTCTGGCTAATTCTAGTAGGTCATAGTCGTGTTTTAGACGAGTTTATGAGGGAATATAATGGCAACAAATACAGAATAATGATCTACTTGCTATGAAGTAAATGTATATAATAACAGTTACAGAATGCCTTAAGTAATTTCACCACTTGAAGGTCTGCACTGAACAAACGAAAATGATTGACTTAATCCATAAAGTTTATTAAAGACTGAAAGAGTTACCATCGTAGCTGCTTGCTTCTGAGGTTTCCTGTAGCTGCATGTGAAGCAGTCTTGGGACTGCCCCTGTTCATTATCCAGTGGATTAAGATGCTCCCAAGTAGCAGTAGTGCTTCTGTGTTGTAAATTGCAATGGTGCAAGAGCACCACGTATAAATGTTTCACCTGTACCAGAGGGCCAAATTCTGAGATAGAGGTGATCACAAGCCAAGATCCTAAGGTATTATTAAATATATCTTTTTTTTTTTTCTTCCTTGATGCAGTAACTATGTGGCTCTGAGTTGCATTTATATGCAAGAGTTTATAGAAGCAAGGCTTAACTCAGAATTTAAATCCAAGAAACAGTTAAAGATATGCTCTGTTATGCGTGTATTGTAGTATACAAAGAGTTTTAAGAAAAATATCTCAGTGTGATGATTACAAAAATCTAGATACAATCAATGCTGTAATTTCTGGCTCCTTCATTAACTAGGGTTCTGAGTAAATATTTCATATATAGGAGAAAATAAGGATAGTACCCTAAATTCATTACCATTTGCCATCTTTCTTCTTGAAAACAGGGTCACAGAAACAGTTCCAAGTTCCAAGTTCTCATTTCCAAGGGGCTAGAGCACCTTTGAGAGGGAAGGGTAAGTTTCCCTCCTGAAGTGGTGTGTTTTTATACAATTAGGGATGTAATGCTGCAGTATGTATGTACTCCCCCCTCTGCAGTGTAGAACTGCACAGACCCAGGTGGAAGTACTTTGCTGGAGAGCAGTGCAGACAGATTAGATGTCAGACTTCACTATATGTGGTATCTTTATTAGAGGTCACAGCTTTAATTCTCTCCTATTACTTTGTAACCATGCGCATAAGAAATCAGAGTCAGCCTCTACCACAAAACAAGTACCAGGAGTGAATGCAGCGTATGAGTCTGCTCTTTCTCCCATTGTTTCTGCACCCTTCCCCCAAAAGAAAGCAGTAAAATCTCACAGCAACTACACAGTGCAGTCCAAATAAAACTCATTCTTCTCCAAATATAAGCAAATTTTCTGGTTTTTACAGTTACAGAAAGATAGGGAAAAGACTAGTGCATATACTTTAAATGTTTCAAAATCCAAATACTGATGCAGTAAAAGTATATTTGCTGTGCAATCCATATATACATTGATCTACAGCACAGAATAAAGCCACCCACTGCCTAGCAGTCTAAACCTTCCTGAATTATACCCTTTTCTTTTAGAAATGTATTGAACTTGATTTTTTAAATATATTATGTATACTTTTTATGCATGTATACATATATATTTTCAAGATATAGATGAATATAAAATATAAATATATATCCAAATTCAAATTGCAGTGGAAATGTTCATCACAAACAGAAAATGTATCTGAACATGAGAAAGATCAGTACTGTAGTCTAATACAAGACTGAGAAATAAGTTGCCTAGGACTTCAGAACCACTTGGAATGTCACCATATTTCCTCTGAAGGTCCAAAGTGCACTTTTTCCGTGCCTTCAATAACATAAACATGTAACAGCAGATACAGAATAAAAATAGTATTTAAAACTTAAAATAATAATCTTCCTCTCACCTTCCCCTTAGAAAGAAAAAAACCTGAGAAAGTGACAACCACATACAACTTTATGCTCTTCATGAAAGTATTTAACTAGTGGAGGTGATATAACAGCCTAATGAAACCACTTTCTTATTTGATGATATTGACCCATGAAACATCTTGCTGTAAGCTTAACTATTTGTATTTTGGTATAACAAAACATAAAATAAGGCATAGTCTGGTGAGCTGAGCAAAAACACCAGACAAAGATACACACCCAATATTAGTCAACCAAGACAATTAAAAATAAATACATTTTTTCTATTCAAGATGGCTTTATCTTAGTGTTGCACTGTTTGCAGTAGGAAATCCTAAGCATTTCTGAGTTTGAATTAAAGAATATTTCTAATTTGCAAGATCCCATCTACTATCAATTCTCATTTGACAACCAGCAGTATTTGTTTCATAATGCTCATTTCAGTGCCAGCATTCCAGATATTGATAAATTTATAATGCAACTTACGTAAATTATTTGGAGGAGGTCTCGTCTCCATGTTTTCATAATGTTGCACGTGTACTACAATGTTTAGATCTCTTTCCATATGATCTGTTGTACAAGGACCTTGAGGTCGCATAACATCAGCAAGAGCCCTGAAAACCAAACAAAATCAGAATGAACCTCTTGTAAAATCTGTAAGGCATTACCAAAATATGCCAAGATTTTTTTAGTTTGAGATGCAGTCCGTCATAATATCTGCTGGAGATACCAGCTCCATTCACAGCAAAAGCAGGGAATCAGATTCATTGTGAGACTTCGCACCTAAGGCTTGTTTTAGGTTGTCTTAGACAGTGTGCTAGCAGTAATGCACACAAACACATTAAGTTTTTTAGCTGTCTTGGCTTTGTAGGAGCATAATTTAAGCTTGTTGAGAGTTTTTAGAGTTCTGCCATTGCATGTGCTCAGTAATATTGCCATCTTGGTTAAGCTGAGCACCTATAGCACCTCTCTATAGCTTTCACAATCTAGTTATTTTCACACCTAGATTACCAGCAGAGCCTGTCAAAATAAATTCTCACACATGCATTTGCACAGAGCACCACACAATGCAGTGGTCTTGGCCATTTTCATTCCAAAATGTCACCAAAGTTGAAAGGTCACCTGATTTTCATGCGGAAATTCAGTAGGCATAGTACTCTTCATGATCAGGGATTTAAGCTTTTCCCATCAAGAAGGGGAGATCAAAAATGTCTTTTCTAACTTCTGTGAGTGTCCTAGTCATTAAGATGGAGCAAAGCTTGCACAGGAACTCTCCTTGCTCCTTTGAAGCCAGTTCAGAAACAGGATGAAAGCTTTATGCTGGCAAAGAGGGAGTAAGCAAAAGGATTCCTAACAGTTAGGCCAGGCTCAACCTGATGCTGGTAACGGACTTTTTCTGCAGAGCTGCAGGCAGTAACTATACCTGAAAGAGAGACAGATTCATCCCACTCTGGTGCATTTTCCAAGGAGTAGTTTCACTGCTGAGCTTCCTGCTGAGTGTAAGTCCATTCTTAGGCACACAGATAAGCACACGCCGCTGTATCAGCCTTGTCGATCCAGAGTTAGTGACTAAGTTTTAAGCTCTGAAACTCTCAGCATGGCAACATCGAACTCTGTGACTCTGGGATATGGAGTTTTACCACTGACTTCTGTAGGAGCAGGATTAGCCCTTAGGTATATGCCATATAGCTACCTGCTGAACTACTGTGCCACAGAAAATAATTGGCCCACCTGCAGAAGCTGTTGCCTTAGGCAAAAGAAAAGCTATGGTATGTGTTACCGGTGTTTTCAGGGTTCAATGCAAGGCTCAATGCATCGCTGACCATTACACGGCTCCTTGGTTTTTTTTACTAGTTTAAATTTTTAGACCCCTTGAGCTATTAATTTTTTTAAGGGATTTTCTGGGCACTGTGCCCAGTGCAGTTTAATTTTCTGCAAAATTATATACAGTGTGCCAGATACTGCATCAAGAGAGACTAGTTTATAAACTAATAAAGAAAGAAAAATAAGCACATTCACCAGTGAAACCCATGGCAAGTGCTGTTGAGCTTCTCCACTGTGACACGATGATTTCTTGATCAAGAACTGTACTTTTAAATATTAAAAAGTAGCTTCATTTAAGTTACAGAGAAGAATCCTGAGCTGGATCTTGCTTTCAGATTGTAGGAACACTGCTGAACGATACTGATGTTTCATTGTGTTTATGGCTAGCATTATGTTATTAAAATATTAGTTACAGTTGTGATCAACATGTTACAGAATACTCTGTTGATACTGTAAAAGGTCAGAAGACAGTAACGAAATGATTAATGGTATCACAGCAATGCTCCCATTTGAAGCAATGCTTATACAGCAGAAATAGCAGAGCTGGCCTACATAGCAGAATAATAAAAATTCAGAGAAGAGATCTCACAAAGGTATGTAGAAAATGATGCAGAAGGAAAGCATTATGTTGCAAAACATAGTTTAAAATAAGTGGGGATCAAAACCATGAATATCTAGTCAATTTATGCAAATATATCTCTATATAAAGGAAATTGCTGACACCAATATTATTTCTAATTCCAGAGGCAGGTGGACACATTTCTGGGAAGGGAAGAAAAGCAAATTAAAGTTCCTACCTTCAATGTGGGAGTTACAATTGTGAGATCTCGTAATACACGGATTAGTATTTCCCAACTTTGTGAGAATGGGTTTTCAGAAATGCTTTCCTCATTGCCCTTAATCTGTTGGTAAATATTGTTAACTGTAGACTTTAAATAATACCCCATGTGATAGCAGATTAACTACTGCCTGTCTGTGAAAATGCCAACTAAATTTTCTACCATTTCAGGGTGGCTCTTTTCAAAGGGGTTTTAAGGAATTAACTGTCCAACTCCCACTATATTAAGAAAAAAGGAACTACTCACCATCAAGTTCTGTTTTTAAGAGCACAGCGCCTATGTTTATATTTTGTTAGCCAAATTTGTACAATCTTCTCAGGGCAGAATAGCTCATATAACAAAGAGCTTGTCCTTATTGTCCACTGATGTCAGGGAGAGTTAAAAATGTGTAGCAACTTGTATCATTGAAGTACAAAGGAAACACTGTACTTGCATTTTGTTCTTTTAGGGATTTGCCCATATAATGAAAGGGTTTGTGCCCCAGTACATGACAGAATCCTTGAATAGACATTTGCTTTGAAAAATTCCACATAGGCCAACAAACTGTTACAATACCTTCATGCATTTGTCTCACCTGAATATCATCCTATAGATTTTGTTTGTTATCTGAAGAAATTGTTTGAGTGGGTCCCATTGAAAAATCATATATACGTAGAGGATCAGTATCTACACCTTTGCTATATTAAACGATTTTTTAAGGAAATGCGAAATACAAGATAATCTTCTAATCAGGTAGCAATATCATTAAGTCCTGTGTATTGATATTGATTGCAGTATTACAAGAGTGGAGAATTGTTACCTACATAGGACTTCATGGCCCAGAACTACCCAAGTATGACAAAACTTCAGCATTTCTCTTACCAAGAGATTTTTCCCTTTGGATATGTAATAATATTTTCAGGTGTTATAAAGCATGTGGAGCCAGGCATTTCACTTACAGGTACAAGCTTGAAGAAGCTGAAACACAGGTTATTTCATGAAAGGTCACTTGTAATTTTTTGCCTCCAAAACTGGGTCAAAACCCATAAGGGAAATAATTTCACACGTAGGATTCAGGATTTTGGCAAGTCAGACTATTTTTGGCCCGAGGTACTTGCCTTTTGAATGATGAACCAAAGACTTAACTCATGAGCTCAGCACATTGTGTAGGAAGAAAGAAGAGCTCAGATGGTCCATAATATTTGGAAGGCTACTAACATACTGTCAGAAGCACTGCTTCAAAAAACCAGGAGCTATAGTGTACAAGCGTGATTGTAAATATTGTCCTCTCGGTTCCTGGTTTGTTTGCACATTCTCCACAAGGATCAGGGAAAAAGGAAAAGGTGCAGTTTTATTTACAGAAAAATCTCCTCCATGAAACAGAACTAAAGCTTTTCACTTTTTTACTCATTTTCAAGAGAGGATTTTCCACTTTAATTGGTGGAGCCTGGAATTCCCATTGATGTAGTCTTAAACAGTAAGACCATGCTGCCCTCATATGCCTTAGAGAGCTTCTAGGTCTGCTTTGGGAGGCAGATCAATCTTGTTTCCTTTTAGGCACAGTACTGCCACACGCATTCCCTTTGCCCTGTCTGATAATATACACCATCTTATTCCCTTATTCTCTTAGAAAGCAGAAGGGTAAAGGAAGAGTTACTGTGTTTGGATGCTACTATTACTGCTTAGTTCTTGGACACTGTAGCTGAAGGAAATATTTATCTCTTTTTAGTGTCAAGTGACAAGTTATAAAATGAGGAAAATTACATAAACAAAACATTATCATATGACGCTAAAGAGAAATGTGCCATGTAGAGTTAATATTGTACTGCCCTCTCCATTTTCATCTTCCAGATTTACAGTTCCATGCCAACAGTAAGAGTGTCTTACTGAAAAGCAGTGATCTAACAAGAAAGAAAATGTCAACAGTGCCACACTTGGCCTTTTTTCTCAAAACAAAAGGAAGCAACAAGCTCTCTAAAAAAAGGACAAATTTTTACTCTTATTCCCTGAAAGGACTTGCCCAATAGAGATTTTTTTCCTATGGATTATTTTCACTAAGTAAATACATTTCCCTTTTTCATTGTCAAATATTTCAGGAAAATTCAGTTAAATTAATGAAGTGTTCTTGGTTGGTTTTGGTACAGCAGTAAAAAAATGTAATGAAAGATGAGAGCACAGAAACTAAGCTCGCCAAGCCTGTGAAGTTTCCTTTATTAACATTGTACCACTTTTACACACACCAGTGTCTTACTTCAACAGCAGATCCACTGACTGCAAGATGAAATAATGCAAGAAATTAGTATGTGACACAGTTTGCTTCCTATTTATAAGTCATGTTCTTATTCCCATGTGTGCATATTTTTAAATATTTTTGGTATATCAAAAATGGGAATATATAACTTACACCAGCTGTATTCTGTTCACTTTTTAAAAAAAATCAGCCCTCATGAAAAACGATCAGTTTACATTATGCATTGTCTTTTTTGATAAGCAGTGCCATCCCTTCCATAGGTGAATTTGTTCACAGGGATGAAGAGGGTTCGTAGTGTTTCATGTAGCCATTGGCTAAGGAAGGGAAAGGAGACAATCTCAGCTAAGGAAATAGATGACAAATCAGCCTCCGTGTGTTTTTGCTGCCAGCCAAAATGGAGTAACACTTAGTACTTGTGGTTTGGCCTACCAAACACTCTCAATGCATTATGCTTTTGCTTATTAATAAGGTTCTGTACAGAAAAAAAAAAAAAGCCACCAAAACATACGAAGTGTTCTTTTTGGTTTTGTTTTTTTTGATATTACAGTGATAAGTGTTAGAAAAGAAGATGAATATGAATATAGGCTACATATTATTTTAATTGTTGGTACTATTAATGGTTTGAACATATGAATTAATTATTTCTTAAGCATTGCAGCCTTTTTTTCAGAACATTAGTAGTGTAAAATGAGCTAGCACGTAATATTTTAGTTAAACACACATTCGAGGACAAAAAGGTTACTTCAATTCCTCACTCAATGAACAGATTTTTAGATTGCCGAAGGGATTTACACATCTAATTCCTTTTCAAATTAATGGTAAGCCCACCCCACAGCTGTAATAGGAGTGTGAGAACTTCTTTAAAAAAAAAGCTATAGTGCTGCGTTTTCAGAACATGACTAGCTATTATGTGTACTGAGTGGGTGACTGTTTTTCCATGTGATCATGACTTTCCAAGTTTCTATATAATCCTGACTTGAACATTTTCATGGCAAGAAAACTACAAGATCTCAGACACTGTTAAGTAATCAGGGTAACAGACGACCTTTTCTAAGAACCACTTCAGAAACCTAATCTTTATGCACACATGACTGAAGGATTTCAGAATGATTTTCCAATTCCCTATAATTCTATTTCCCTAAACTAAGACAAAATATCCTTTCAGAATACTTCACACTTGTACTTTAGATAGCAAGTATTTCTCTAGTAGAAATAGGACCTATTTAAGCCATGTATATGCAGGGATGGCTCAACTTCATTCTGTCCTGATTTTTGTAACTGTTACGAGCCCTGCCTTTTTGCCTGCATGAAGACACTAGAGAAAGAGGCTGAAGCAAGGGAGAGCTTTTTTCAAACAAGGTCTGTTGTTTAAGGGTAAGATTTGAAAAAGAAATTGGGACCCATATATTCATTTTCTCAATTTAGTAGTTGAGAATATTCAAAATGTCTAAAGAATTATTATACCTTGCTCAAAAAAAAATCTTTGCAGAAGTATCACTGACACACAGTGTTGACTAAAATTTCTGCAATGGGCTTTGTTCCTCGGTAGTAAAAGCATAACCATATCAGCCAGTTTATAAATAGTAAGTAATTGCTAGTGAACTGGTCATGTATTTGCAGGAGTATTTTTATGGCTTTCTCTGTTCATTTCAGGATAAGCAGTTAATCAAAAAGTCATGCAGAAACTTCAGTAAAAAATAAGGCTCCGGGTGCTGAGTTGATCTCTGTCTTTCAAAGGACGACTCTTCATCTAAGCTTCAAAGATTGTGAACTACACCATTACCAGTTAGGGCAAGAGGAAGATTTCTGCCACACTGCACGTCCAGTAGAAGGTATCTTTTAATTGGATTTCATCACTAAAGTTGCCCAATATGCTGGAACCTATTTAGACTCTTTAATGGAGCTATTTGCCTTTTTTAATGCCTTTCCCCCATCTGCTTTGCTTTCATGTGCCTGGGATTAGCATAAAGGATCAGACAAACTGCAAACTTGACAAATGTGTTATGCCTTGATTTTGAACTGCTGTGTCAATCTGGGTTTGGAATATGTTGTTGAAGCCATTGGGCTCTGTCCTGGGTTGCCCACCTGTCTATCCACCACTAGGCAGCCAGTATCTGGAGTAGATGGTACACAGCATGCTTAACTCCAGGTGGGGGAGGTTCTCTTTGATATAACTCAGCCATTACACCGTGGATACAGACTATAACACACACATATACGGGTGAGACAAGACTTTCATATTGCATTTTTTAGCTCTCAACAGTAACTGAAAAAAAATGTTAAGAAATTCTACAGTAGCTTTTCCTTTTTGTGTCTCCCTCTTCCCTTCCACCCTGGCTCATTTTCACAGCTTAGAAATTTTACAAATAGCTCACACACTTGCAAGGGTTGGGGGAGTAGGGAAGGTCCTGCCAAAACCATTTTGCAGCTGGAGAGGGAGGGTGAGATGACATTTGTTTACATCCTTCTGTTGAGAAGTAGAAACATTTTCCAAGCTTTGAAACAGTTGGAAGAGGGAACCCATCAGGCTTTCTCTAATTCAGTGTTGCTGGTTTCAGGATTTTTTTTGTTTTCCTATTCTTGCACTGTATATCCGGGAACACTTGCTGGATCTTGCTGGGGAGAGGGTCAGGCACTGCAGATAAAAATGGACTACTGTCTGTGCAGACTCCACAATTATGTCTGGTCTTCCTCAGTATGCATGTACTTTGATAACCTGGGCTCAGGGAACCACAGGAGCTCTGCTCCCCAAAGTTGCTTTTGCTGGGTTGCCTTGCAGGGCAATGCAGCCTGCCTGGCAGGAGTTGTTCGTTTAGCAGGAACACATGGGCTACTCTCTCCTCTTTAGGGATGGAAGGGGAGGCAGTGGGGAAAGGGACCCTGCTGCCTGGCACTCAGCCTTACCTGGACATGTGCTCCCGCTGGGGTCTGTGCGCCTTCTCCAGCCCTAGTTTGGTGAAGATCCCAACCAGCACCATGACTGCCACAACCCCACAGATGATGTAGACAATGAGGTTGGTTTTATCCCTGGTAGGGTCATGCAGAGGGTCATCTATGCGGGAGGGAGGCTTCCCAGTGTTCATCCACAACGGCGTCTCATAGTTTGTGCAGGTGCTTTGATCCAGCCTTGTCTTCTTGAACTTGCAGCAAAACCTAAAGCCACAAGTGCCGCAGCAGAAGATGAACTCCCCCGAGCTGCAGTTAAAGGGGGGGTCCCACTGCCCCATCACGTCAAAGTAGCCCCTACAGAAGTCCGGAGTGGGAGGTGGCTCAGAGGGGTCTAGCTGTTCCCCAGGGCTGGAGTGGTTTCCTCCCGAGAGCACCACGAAGCTCCCCAGCTGCTGGCCAGCTTTCTCCTGAGCCCGACACACCAGCGTGAGAAGGTCCGCCACCAAGTAGCCGAAGAGCAGCCGAATGAAGCCTTCCATTCTGCCTCCCGGCCCCGGCTCAGCGATGCTGCTGCTGCCGCCGCTCGAGCTGCTGGATGCTGCGCTGCGCCAGGAGCTGAACATAAAGGGGCTCCGTCAGGGGCCGGGCGTCCGCTCAGCCCGCGCTCGCCCTCAGCACCACGGACAGCCCCGCGCGGGCCGGGGCCACCGCCCCCCCCCCCC